ATGGGGCAATAATGAGGAGGTAGATGAGCTTGAGATGCTTGTGGGAGATCTGTGCAGACACACTGGATACAGGAAGAAAGGCAAAGATCTGAGAGTGCAGGCTGGGGGAGTGGAGTCAGTAGCTCACCACCAGAGGGTGTGAAGTCAGAAGGAACAGTGGAGGGGGCAGAGGAGAGCCAGGACAATGTGCCACCTTGGAAGCCAAGTTGAGAGGGGTGCAGATGAGAAGCGTGGTCAATATTGTCTTATTCTAGAAAGTGGTCACACCGGATGGGAGTTGAGAAGAGGTGGCTTAGAAGATGTGCCTGACACTTGAAGGAGGAATGTTTCAGGACAGTAGAGGGGATGAAATCCACAGTCCAAGGGACTGGGCTGAGACAGAAGCAGACTCTGGGAAAAGTGAATATAGCCGACTCTTCAAGTAGCTTAGCGGGGAAAAGCAGGAGATAAACGGCAGTAGCTCGAGGCAAACTCAAACTTGAGAGAGGTTTGGGGTTTTTTTGTTTTTCGTTTTTCTTGCAGGATGAGGGAGATTTTAAAGTTTTTATTTAGTTATGGGTTGTTTTGGGGTAGATTTCAGCATATATCTATCTAGTAGTCTAGGGACATCTCTCAGGACGCCAGGACTCCAGATGGCTTCCCTGCAGTGGTTTTAGATAGTAATGACATCATTGAAGGTGGGACGAGGAGTCTGCGAAGACAGAACTCACATAGGAACTGCACTACTGTGCTTGCTCTCTGGACAACACAGACAGCAGGAATACCTGAGTGAGGGTCTTTAAGGAAAGACTGGCTCTAAGACACGGGTAACTGTGTCTCTACACACCTGGAAATGCCCCTGCCTCCTCCCACCCCAAGTGGCCTCCTTTGGCGTCTCTGCTCTGATCCATGACACCCTCTTGCTGCTGCTCCCCAAGATGCTGAACTTCCAAGCTCATTCACCATTGGCCAGGGAAAGAGAAGAGGAAACGGTTTCAGGCATAGCAGGAAGGATAGCAAAAGGCCAATATGTCCTCATATATTCACCACCACCTCCCCACCCTGGAGAACTAAATGTGGTGCACAGTGAAACAGCCCTTTAACAACCGCCTCGTCCACAAATGCTTTGCCACCCGGTTTGAAAGACAAATGAACCTCACATCCGTTCTTTCTCGATCACCAGGTAACTGCCAACTTGCTGGCAAGAAGTAGCTCAAGCAAATTGCCTATTAATTGAACGTCGCTCAAGATGTAAAGTCCTAGGTTTCTTCATCAATTCTTCGAGATGGCTCCGGTTGGAGCCTCTCGAGGGTGGTAACTGTCGGGCAGTGGAAAACCAGCAGGGGAGCACACGCTGCCAGGAAGGAACACCTTTACTGCTATGTATAATGCTCCAGCAAAATAAAGCCATTTCTTTTCTTTTTAAAATTAATTAATTATTTTTTTCTAAGACTGCAATTGGGGCATGCACACAGAGACCAAGGTAGTTTCCAGTGTATTCCAACAGCTATTTTATTATTTCAGTTACACAAGGCTAAATCAAGCGGGAGAACACACAGAGACCAAAGCCACATTCTATTCTCAGCCCTCATTCCATGTGTAGTATAATTAGTTTCTTTACACGCCCCCAAATAAAACATTTATTAAAAGTATGAAACAGAGGACCTTCTAAGTATTAAAGACGGCACATTAGGCAACTTATGTACTGATATAAAGCAATCTCCAAGATCCATTATTACAGGGGAAAAAAAAAATCAAGGTGCAGAACAATGAGAAAAGAAAGCTTTTTAAAAAATGAATACCAGTTACCATTTGTAAAAAAAAAAAAAAAAAAAAAGACAGTATATCTATGTAAATATATGAGTATGTGTATATACATAAATGTATTGTGCATTTGCTTATATTGTCTATGCATCCTTTGGAAGGATACATAACAAATGAGGAATGGACGTTTCTTCCAGGAAGGGGATTAAGGTAGCTGGGAGTAGTTTGGAAATACATTGTTGTTTAACCTTAAATTAATATTAAATTAAAACCACAGAGGCAAGGCATGCTGGCTCATGCCTGTAATCCTAGCACTTTGGGAGGCTGAGGCGGGCGGACCACTTCAGGTCAAGAGTTTGAGACTAGCCTGGGCAACACGGTGAAACCCTATCTCTACTAAAAAAATACAAAAAATTAGTCAGGCGTGGCTGAGGCACAAGAATCGCTTGAACCCGGGAGGTGGAGGTTGCAGTGAGCCAAGATTGTGCCACTGCACTCCAGCCTGGGCAATAGAGCAAGACCCTGTCATAAATAAACAAACAAACAAACCAACCCAGAGGAGGGTTCAAAAATTATTTTTAAAATAAACATGAAAAAGTACATGGAAACAAAAATAAACATGGTCAAATGAAAATGTCAGTCTTTCTCAATGGAGCGAGAGAGTGCTATGAACCTGGGGAATGGGCATGTTTGCAGTGGGTATGGTTAGGAACACATTAGGGAACCAACCTGTCAGAGGAGGCTGGAATCCTCTGCAGAGGCATGTCAGGCCGACAGCTGTGGATGCTACCTTTGGCAGGTAATGGGGACTCAGCCTGCTTTGCAGGGAAGGCTAGTGGCATGCTCAGAACTGTAGCAGGAAGGTGGGTTAGGCGGGGGGAGGTAGGGCTGGGGTCTGAGGATGGAGCTGTGGGAGGGTCTCCCCAAGGAAGAAGTGATGGTCAAAGGGCATAACCATTTGTGAAACATACTAGGATGGATGTTGACTGACGGAATTTGAGGAGCTGAAAGAATATCCGGAGAAACCATCAACCAGAAGTTGGAAATGTGGGTCTTGGTCTTGCTCTTGACGGGGTGGTGGGGATAAGAGATTTGAGAAGAGTCTGCAGAGAATGAGAGGCAAAGACAGAGACAGGGAATGAGGTCTCCCAGGTGGGGGAAAAAGCACCGAAGACAAAGAAAAAAGATGGAGTGGGTCTGGGGTGAGGGGTCAGGGGAAGAGGTGGGAAAAGGAAATGGGACAATGGAGAAGGCTGGAGTTTCCCCATTGAAATCCATCTTACTTGGATTTCAAGATGAAAATCTCAATGTGAAGAAATTAAAGAAGAAAGAGACTCAAAGGTGGAGTTTGGGGATACTGGTGACCTGCAAAGAAAGAATGCCGTGGGAAATGTAGGAAGAGGTCTTGGGAGGCATTAAAGCCAAGGTTATCTTTCTTTCCTGTGCATGGACTCATTTGGGACTTACTAAAATCCAGAATTCTAACCTTCCCTCCCACAAATCCTCAATTCTGCATTTATAAAAAAGTGTCCCCACCCCCCAGCTGCTGCACCCTAGCAATTCCAACATAAGTGACCTCCCAGAACACATTTAGACAGGGTGGCTGTTGAGGAAGGAGAGGAGGCCTTCTTCACAAACATTCCAGGCTGGTGGTATTTTTGAGAAGGCAGCAGGGTTGAGGAAAGGCTTTGGGGGCTCGGGGCAAAGAGGCAAAAGCCAGAGGAAGGGAAGAGGTTGAAGAGGGTGAGAGAGGAGGTCCCAGAGGAGCAGAGGCCCAGAAGAGAAACGATCCCAGGGACCAACAAGATGGCGGCTGGTGTACTTCCTGGAGACAGGAGTGAGCAGAACATGGGGAGACACTGGTTTTGGGGCAGCTGCAAGCTGAGGGGCTCAGGGTGAGAAGCCCTGTTTTCTCAGTGAATAAGGAACTGAGGTCACCTGCTGAGAATGGACCAGGGTTTAGAAGACCTGAGAAGGCTTGAAAGATGAGGTATTCTGTAGAGAGGGAACGACGAAGCCAGCTCACGGAGGACATTTCGTGCTGCGGGGGATGCCCATTCCTTCTTCCTCCCCTGAGAAGCATCTGCATTTCAGCATCTGGCTTTTCATTCCTTGGTTAAGATTTCATTTTTCAAGAACATTTAAACCTTCTCCTGTCAATAAATTACCCTTGTCATCCCTTCGAGATTGCCCTGCTTCCCTTTGCTGCTCTCTGCTTTCTTCCACATACATCTTCATCTCTGGTGCGATCTTCCCTTCACTCCAGCTTCTCTTTTTCTATTTTGTTTTTATAATACGTTCAATCATTTTCCACTTGCCTCTCTCCCATGCCCCTGCGTTTGTCAGGCCCCGGATTCTCTGGTCCCTCCCTTTGTCACTTGAAGCTTGAAGCCTAGCCTTCCAGGACCCACTCAGTTCTCTCACACTTGCATTTTGGTTCCGGGTGTACGTCTGTCTTGCAAGCAGGACCAGCTACATAATTTGCAGGGTCCAGTGCAAAATAAAAATGTGGGGCCCTCTTGTTTAAAAAAAATGACTAAGAATTCCAAGATGGTGACAGTGGAGGATGAGACCTAACGTGGGGTCCTTCTGAGCACAGGTTGCATGCCCACGAAGCCAACACCATGTGTAGTATTTGCTACTTTAATTTATTGTTTATTCACCATTCTCTGAACACTCTCGATATTGCCTCTGTCATCTCTAATGGCTACTTTAACCTGCCTGGTTTTACATAATATAGTCAACATGCTATAAAAACCAAATAAGACATTCCATTTTAATTACCCTGCCTTTTCACCATCTTTTTTGCTGATCTGGAAGAGTGACATGAGATTCTTTTCTAGGTCCAGCAGCCTACGGAAGTTGATGCTTGGGCGGTTTCTGCCATTCAAAGACCCTCAAAGTCATGCTGGGAGTTTCAAATGGCACTGAGACAGTTTCTCCCCTAAAAGAAGAGCTGGAGGAGAGGTGGGTCAAGTCACCCAGGCAATTATTTTATGGAACTCACCCAGGAAATACATACTATTCAGGGTAAGCATTCAATGTGGCTGGCACTCTTTCCTTGCTTGGCTCCAGCTGAGAGCCAAGATGCTGATATAAAGCAGAAGCACCATTCTAGTTTAGTGAGTTTCCTTCTTGATTTGAGGGATCTCACCTTCCCTACAGGTCCGTGGTTCCACCTGGTTGACATTCACTTCTGGTAGCCTCGTCCCACTTCCTTCGCGCCCACACCCCAACCCAAGAGTTAGGCCACCTACTTGTTGGTTTGCCTCTGGTGCTGAATGACCATGTTTTTCTCGTGGATTGTTTCCAACAGGGCTGTTGCCAGAGATTTCAGGTCAGAAATGGACTGCGGAGTAGCTGGGAGGCTGCATCCATGATCCTCAGATAGCAGATCCTGAACTAGATAGGATACAAAATATATAACTCAGTTGTCATTCTTCTGAAACACTGGAATGCAAACCAATGTCAATCCTTCCTGGATAATGATATGTCCCCAGCTTCAAAATGCGACTGTGTTGTATTGAGAGTCCACCTCAAGTGTCAACACAACAAAGTAAAATCCAGTGTGAGGACTAAACAGAAAGGAGGAAGTTCTCAGGACTTTTATCAGCAATTTTTAAGAGGATAATAATATTTGCATTTGTCTAGTATTTTAAACACTTTCATAATGACTAACACATAAAGTCTTAAAATTTGGGGAAAAGATACCCTACGGAATATTGATTTTTTCCATTTCATGGACAAAACAAGGTGCAGATGGGTTAAGAACATTGGCTGAAGGTCACACAGCCATGCAAATGACAATGACTCCTAGCTCCAAGCACCTTGCTTTGTGTCAGTTTCCCACCATGTGATACCCCTGGCAGGTGATAAGATAATTTAGGAGATTATTTAAAGTTCAAAATATGTTTTGTATTTTAGTAGCTATGCATTTGTTTGAAGGTATTATAGAAAAGGTTATATATGGCATAATAAACCAGTGATTTCACAGGTGCTACTACTTAGGATAAGGCCAAGTAAAATGAGTCACTTTAAAATCGACTTAAAGAAAAACATTAAGCAAACAATAGCAAGGTGGCACAAAGATATGGCAAAAAGATATATAACAGACTGCAAATAGCAAATATCTAAATATTGGGAAAGAGTACATTATGCAAAATCTAGCTGTTCTTGGATGTTTGTTACTCCACAAACTGCCAAATCCCATTCACGGCCAAGTTCAAAATGAAAGCCAAACAACATACACAGTTCCATGTAATTGAAGGATTGAGACCCACATGAGAGAGACCCACCCCTTGTGCATATCCTGCCCTGGATGAGTCTGCTAACAAGTCTCCAGTCATCTAGGGATGGCTCCGATAGAAAATTATTTTTTTGTCTAGTTTCTAAAGTGTATACTTTAAAAAAATTCCTAATTTGTTTGCATGCCACTTACAAATACATAAAGGGATATTACAGTGTGGTATACTAGTTTAGCACATAATAGGACTGTCACCTCCTTTATCCCAAATTTCCTACTTCTGTGAATAGAACGTAAGATTTCCTTAGCTTCTTTGGCAATAAAACACTATTAATGAATAATATGACAATACTATCTACTAAAACATCTGTGACTCTTTCACACGTGATGCTGTTACAACTATGTTTCCCCATTTATGCTTGGCTGGGCTTGAAATGGCTTAAATTGCTCTCAGAAACCACCAGCCCCATCCATAGCATGGCCCCAATCTACATCTGCAACTTCTGCTTCTTCTCCCACCGTTCTTTTCTACCCTATGGTCACTCAGGTGCTCCTGCGTATGTGTCCTTCCTGACTCTGAATGGCTGTTCTTCAAGTCTGCTTTGGGTATTTCAAAAGCACTCTTCAAAGGGAGACAAACTAAGAGTTAAACAAAAGGACAACAACCACTGATATTCCTACCAGACATTAAAAAATAATAATAATAAAAATCTCACAAATTTTATTTTCAAAAATGAAAAAAAAACCCCTGCTTTTTTCACTTAACAATATTATTCATTATTAATTTCCCTTAAAACATAAAATTGGATGGCTGCTTTGTAGTCCGTGTATAGATACAGAATTATTTGGCCGGGTGTGGTGGCTCACGCCTATAATCCTAGCACTCTGGGAGGTCGAGGCAGGCAGATTACTTGAGGTCAGGAGTTCAAGATCAGCCTGGCCAACATAGTGGAACCCCATCTCTACTAACAGCACAAAAATTAGCTGGGTGTGGTAGCACACGCCTGTAGTCCCAGCTACTCAGGAAGCTGAGGCAGAAGAATCACTTGAACCTGGGAGGCAGGGGTTGCAGTGAACCAAGATCGCGCCATTGCACTCCAGCCTGGGCAACAGAGGGAGACTGTCTCAAAAAAAAAAAGATACAGAGTTATTTAACTACTGCTGGACATTTATTGTGTTTTCAATATTTTTTATTATAAGCAATGTATGAAGAACTGTCTTGTAGCAAAATGTCTGCATTTATCGGTAATTGTTTTTTGTTGGTTCAAAGGGGGCCAGTTTAAGGCTTTCCATAGCACGCTGCCATAGAGTCATAGATTTCGTTTACCAATACCAATAGATTCTTGATAGAATGCTTTTCATCATAGGTTTTCTAGAAAGGCTGTGCCAGATTGATGGTTCTGCCACAGTGTTTTTGAGTGTGGCTGGCATTCTCCACATCAATGATAACACTGGGTATCAACATTCAAAGATGGCTTGCTATATATGGTATCCAGAGCTAAACTTAGATGGGCTACTTCACATTTTTATAGAGTATTGTAGTTTTCTTTTGAAAAACAATTCTAGGGTGTTCTTTTCTGGTTGAGTGGAAAAAAGAAGTTGCTTGGAAAAGAGCCTTGGTTGTTATGTAGGCTGGAGACTCAGCACTTTTTTTTTAAGCCACTGTAGTGCTGATTAAGACTGCCATATGATAGTTGCTGGTCTGCACTATCAACAACCAAAAAGTGGGCCAGCTGAGCATGTTCAACTTGAGACTTATGTTTAGCATTGAATTCTGAATATTAAGTGTCAGAAGCCAGTGTGCTGCTATTTACTCCCCTGGACTGTTCCTGGAAGATCATTATTTTTCATTGGAATCGACAAGAAGGAGGAACAAAATTGCAATCAATAAAAGCTTCTTCGAAAAAGGCACATGTCATGTGAGAAAATGATTTCAGCAGCTAGGAGACTTTTCTGATCCTAGAGGCCAGGAAAAGGGGAAATTCAAGGAGGTCGAAATGCATCCTTGGAGATGCTGAATTGGTGATGAGGAAAGAGAGAACATTCTGGAAAGGCGAACACAATCTAGGGGAATATGCCCAAATGGGGTCTAGTCATTAGAAAAACCTCGAATGCAGTGGTTCCCAAAGTGGGAACCAGCATCAGCATCACCTGGGAACTTTTTAGAAATACATAATTCTCAGGTCACACCCCAGACCGATTGAATCAGAAACTCTGGGGTGGAACCAGTAATCTGTGTTTTAACAGTCCCTCCCGGCAACTCTGATGCACGTGGAAGTCAGGGAGCCACTGTTCTATGGATCGCCTTGGTTCCCAGACCACAAAAGCAGCATCCTGGATGGGATGTGGCCTTGCAGTTGTAGTATTTTACGCTCATGAGTGGTCTTTCCTGGAGCATGATATCCTACCTTGCTTTGCAGACAGGACTCCTGTCAGAGCACTGCTGCTGGATTTACCCTGGCCCTTCGAGTTTTTCCGTCTCTCCAGAGCATTCTAAAACAGGATTGGGAGAGAATAAAAACCCGTCAGAAAAGTCAACAATGGAAAAGTACCTAGCAGATGTCTCCTCTCATCGGCACACAAGAACCCCTTGCAAACTCCAAGTGCTAGCCTAATATTTAGAATTCCAAGTCTATGCCCAAGAGTTATAATTTTTACAGCCTGGTAAGAAGACTTTTTTTTTCCCAACAAAGGTGGTGCATGGCAGAATGATAGCAATTACAGTCCCCTGTATACAAAAAGCACTTAATACATGTTAAATTAAATCAAATCTGAAGCAAGAATGCAGCCTAACATGTGAAGTCACTAGTAATGAAAATTCCTTCTGAATAGACATGAGATGGTGACTAGGTTTATTTTCATGCACCAATGGTGATTTCTGGAAGGAAAGAGAGCCATGATCAATTAGTGATGTCTGCTGTGGATACAGATTAGGGAAGTACATATGTGCCACCTACATGTCATTCCTAGAACAGACTTACATTAAAATTGATACGTAGCATCTAGTCAGTGCTTGGCACATAGAACTGAATAAATGTTGTTAAATGAATGCATCCACACATTTTTAAAAATTATGGATTAATTATACAACTTTAAAAGTTATATCCTTCTTTGGCTGAATGCATATAGATAGACTGGTATAATGTGTGGCCCCCACAAAATGGAAAGGAAGAACAGCATGGAGACTTGTGAGAACAAATGCTAATGTCAAAAGCCAGGAAAATAAGGTTCTTCCAAGTATCTAGATGGCTGTAAAACTTCACCCTCAGGAAGAGAAATCAATCTATTTTCCAAGCAGAGAAACCCAGGAGATTTTTCTAATTATAACACTTACAACTAACATCTGCAGAAATAGATATTATCAAACTAATGGTGCTGGAATTAGACTAAACAACAGTGGGGAGAATTTAAACATTCTGTCCTTGTAGTGTGACGTGAACATTATGGTTTAGACTGTGCCTTCCCAATCTTTGTTTCTTCATCACTCGGAAACCATTTTCTTATGGGTGATTATGAGAGAAATGGCATCTGATGAGTGAACATGTTATAGAAAAAACGGGTAAGAAACCTAATTGCAAATAGACCAAGGCTGTGTAATACACAAGTCCAGATTCTAGTGGAGAGGCTACACCAGGCACTAAAACACATCCTGGGTGGGCATGCCTTGCTCAGATAACAGCCGCAGAAAGAGCTCTTGTGAAAAGCTGCTTTGGGTTTTTGTTTTGGAGTCTTAGTTTTTACTGGTTACCCAGTTAAAGCTCTTATTAGACTCTATCTGGGATGGCAGGCAAGTACTAAAATATCTTTGGCACATAAAAGGGAATTAAAATAGAATGACATTTAGATGCACAATAGTGAATCACCATCATTGTCATCATGATTTTGCTACCTTGTATTTGGCAATGTTTGATTTCAAGAGGTTGACCTCTTCATGGAGTTGCTTTAATCTCTCTTGAAGGTACCTGGAAAAGAATATATAAAACTAGGAAGTGTTTAAGGGCTAAACAAAAAACACACACTGAAGTATAAGAGGAAAAAACAAAAATCACTTGCCAGAAGAGCTATCTTTTACACATAACACCTTGCCTGCTCACCAGAAAGGAGAAACACGTGCATGTTTGTGACCTTTTCTTAAATGAATGCAATCAAGGTCAAACATGCCCAAATCACACACACCCCACTTTAAAACAGCCCTCACAGAGATCCCCTAAGGGATATCAACACAGTTTTCACATAATTCTCATTAAGACGATTCCACTGGGAAGAGAGGCAGGAAGAGGCGACACCAGACATAACATTAAGTTAGACACACACATACTGAAATTTGCCTCAGGGAAAAGAAACAGCTAAGGGAATTTCTCAATTTATTTTCTTATTCTTTTCTTTCTCCTTGATGGCAATAACAAGCAACTCTCATGGGTTCCTCCCCCTTCTTGACCTACCAAGGAAGGTGTAGGGAAAGAGAAGGGAGACGTGTGCAGCTGTGCAGGTGTGGGCTGTTTTCCTTTTTCACTTTTCCAACTAATACATGGCATTGATGTCATCATTTTGGGGGAGTAAGTTTCTTTTCACTTGCAAGGCAATTTTTTCCAAAGTAAATAGGGCTGCAAATAACTCCCAGCCTGCAGGCCTGTACAGAGCCAGCCTTCCTCCCACACACAGGCCTGGGCCTGGCCACTTGCCTGTTCTCCATACACAGGGCGTCCACGTCAATGATGCGGTTCTCATGCCCGCTCAGGATATGGTTCAGCTCCTGGTTGAGCCTCTCCACTTTGTCCTGGTAGGAAGACCGTTCTTCTTTAACGTCCTGAAGCTCGTCCACAGAAGCCTGCAGGTCATGCTCCAGAGACTCAATCTAAAACCACAGGGAGCACCCTTACCCAAGATGTTCCTCAGGCACCGGATTTATGGCCAGAGATGGAGCCTTCCACTTGGTTGACTGATTTTTAGAGAGTTTATTAACACTACCCGCTTGCCCTAAAACCATAAGCGCCACACACTGAAATACAATCACAGCTAAAAGTGAGGGATGACTTCCTGCCAGACACTTATTATATCTAAGATAGGAGAGGTGCAGCAGCTTGGAAAACCAGAACTGAACCCTCGACTACTTCAGGATGCCCTGCAGCTGCCAGTGTCTTACAAATCCATACTTTTTCAAATCCACTCTAGACCCAGAAATCTTGTTCTGCTCTTCAGTTAGTAAGAGGAAGAAAATGAACTTTAGGTTCTCTTAGATGTTACCTAACTAGGGTTGAGATTTTGCACTTGTTGAGATTTTGCCTAAGAGGCATTGCTCAGCATTTTAGCAGAAACTTGCAAAGTAAGGCCAAGTTTGTCATGTGCTGTTCTCTCCCTGTCTGTCCTGGGTAGGAGGAAAGTTTCTTGTTGTGTTCAGAACAATGGTACTCAATGGCAGGGAGCAGACCTGCCTGCTGGAGGCCAGAAACCCAAGAGTCAGCTTGGGACCCTAGTGCAGTGCCAAGGAAGTAAAAGCATTCAACGTGCATTCCAGCCACCCCACCCTCTGAGAAACGGGGGACAGGGCCCACTCTTGTTTGTGTTGTGTCCAGCCGTGTAAACGCATCCCCGACTCCAAATAGATGTTAGTGAGAACCTGTTCCTTCGCTCTCTCCAGCTGCTGCACCAAGTCTTCACGTTCATGGGCTGCAAAGTGTCGCACGCCGATTTCTTCGTCTCCGAGCCGTTGTTTGGCAATTGTCATCCTCAACAGCTGCATTTTCCATTGGTAGAAAAGAAAAAGGGACAGAGAGTAAACAGATCCAAATAAAAACCAAAGGACACTAAGAAACTTTTGGAAGATAAGATACTTTCAAGAAATACTGGAGAAAGCACAAAACAAAGAAATTACTTGCCAGTATCATCAATGTTTTTAAAAATTAAAAATATAGATTGTAGTGTACACATGTATACACTGCTTAAGGCCTGGACACTCTAAGCTGGATGTCTGGTGGAGCACTGCTACTGGGAGGAAACAAACTCTGGTTCCCATTAAAATTTAGCAAAGATTCAAAAATGATAACCCAATGCTGGTAGATTCTGCTGAGATGGGCACACTCCCACACTCATAACAATGAGGTGACATTATCAAGAGCCTTAAAAGTGTCCCTACCCAATGATCCAGTAACTCTACTTTTGAAAATCTGGGCCAAGAATAATTCCAGGCTGCTAACTTTAGGAAAAAATGAAAAAGTAGATTGCACTGTTATTTAAAGAGTTAAAAAAAAACACAAAAAAACTAGAAACAATGTCTAACAATAGTGGAATGTTTAGCAAACTACAGTGCAACCAACCAAGTGGCTAATTTGCAGCTGTCTGAAATGAGGCTTATGTGAACTAGGTAACACCAGAGAACATGTCTATGATGCCACGTTAAGTGGGGGAAAAAAAGAATACTAATGTTTCTATGCAGTATGACTAAAATTATACTAAGAACTCTCTCTCTCTCTCTCTCTCTCTCTCTCTCTCTCTCTCTCACACACACACACACACACACACACACAGAGAATGACCAAATACATCCAAATATTAAAAATGTATATATTTGGCCGGGCGCGGTGGCTCAAGCCTGTAATCCCAGCACTTTCAGAGGCCGAGACGGGCGGATCACGAGGTCAGGAGATTGAGACCATCCTGGCTAACCCGGTGAAATCCCGTCTCTACTAAAAAATACAAAAAACTAGCCAGGCGAAGTGGCAGGCACCTGTAGTCCCAGCTACTCGGGAGGCTGAGGCAGGAGAATGGCGTAAACCCAGGAGGCAGAGCTTGCAGTGAGCTGAGATCCGGCCACTGCACTCCAGCCTGGGCAACAGAGCGAGACTCCGTCTCAAAAAAAAAAAAAAGAAAGTATATATTTTGGTGATGGTGAGACTGCTGCTATCTGCTTTTTACTTTCTAACTTTTAAAATATTCATTCACTGCATGAATTTCATAATATGCCTTTATTTATGTTTTAAAATCCTCAGGAATAAAATTGCAGTCTTCCAAAACATAATTTTCCAAAAGATCCCTGCAGAACCCATAGCTTTCCTGGACTCCAGAGCCAAGATCCACCTGCAGCTCCAAACCTTCTAGGTGGGGTTGCAATGGAAACTGTGTGAGAGGCCCAAGAAGACCCCAATGGTCTCAGAGCATCCCCTACCTGCCCATCACAACTCCAAGGATCGCCACTAAAGAGTGACTTTCAAAAGTTATGGCAGCGCTTTCCAATGTTTCTTTTATGAAGGTTTTAATCTGATTCCACGCCTCCCCATAGGGCAGATGTGGATGGGTTTCATATATGAACGGAAGCCTGAGGACAGTTTTTCACTGTCACACCGATCCGACCCAGGCAGGAGTGCCCGCGGGGGGCATGCTTTTCCTTGTTCCTGCATGAATCTTAAGGGATTCATTGCCAGTCGAGAAAATGGCTTAATTTTCAGAGTCTCTGAAGGATTTATGGGCAGGTGAGAGATAGGAAGTTAATTTAAGCCAAGGAAGAATATTAACTAAATTGAAATAATAAATAATAGCAAGGAACTTTGAAAGAAATGATGACTAAAGAAAAGTAAAGTACATTTTCAAATGACACTTACTTTGGGTCCCTATTTGAAAACTACTCAGTTGAACTCAACAAATATTTGCTGTGTCCCTACCAAGAGCAAAAGCACCATTGGGACCGGGTGGACAGTGTCCCAGGCAGGTGGAACAGACCGTGCAAAGGCAGGCAGAAGATGCAGGACGCTTAGATGTGCAGATGGCTGCACTTCCTGGAATCTGGTTACAAGCGATCCTCATTATCCATGGATTCTGTATTTGTGAATCTGCCTACTTGCTGAAATTTATTTTTAACCCCAAAATCGATATTTGCAGTGCTTTCATGGTCACTGTCAGACACGCAGAAAGTGGCAAAAAATTACAGTCGCCCGACACACACGTTTCCATGGAGGTCAAACAAGGCCACATTCTGCCTTCTTGTTTCAGCCCTTGGACTGTAGACAAACGTCCTTTTCATGATCTAGTGAGTGCCACCACATTTGTCACATTTTTGTGCTTTTCATTGGTGACTTTGCTGTTTCAAGTGGCCCCCACGCATAGTGCTGAAGGGCTGGACGTGCTTGCCCTTAAGTGTTATCAATGCAAGAAGGCTGTGAAACGCCTGATGGAGACAATATGTGTGTTACAGAAGCTTCCTCCAGGTATGAGTGACAGTGCTGTTGAACTCAGTTCAGTGTTCATGAATTAACTGTATATGTCAAATAAGGTGATGTTAAACACAGACACACATAAAACAAGGTTATGACTGATCAGTTGACAAAAATGTTGTGACCGGAGGCTTACAGGAACCTAACCTTGCATTTCTCCTAGGAGCAGTGGTTCGGTATTCACTAATCCAGTAGTTGGCAGTGACTTCACAGAACAAATTTGTAGCAAAACTGGTAATTCCACTGAAAGCTGATATACAAAAACTCTATTACATCACACAACTCTTGGCTTGGGACATCAGAATCCCAAAAGTGGATACACAGGAAGGCAAACAGCAAGACAAATTTAAAAAAAGGTCTGTCAGATCTGAGGGTCTAGAAACAAGACAACTCCTGGCTTTCAGTACAAGGCCAACAGGAGGCTCAGGTCGTGTCTTTGAAAGCAGGGTATTTTTCTTGGTCTATGAAGCCATACTGACAGCCTGAACTTTAAGTAATAAAACACTGTGGTTTTCTATTCCCAATATGCTTCACTGAGCACTTAATTTAGAATTGCACAATTATGTTTGCTTAATGCCAATTAATTATTAAACATGTTTATTGAGGTCTGACAGCCATATAAGAGAGTCATCGTTTATATATTGGATGCCTGTTAAGCTTCAATAAATACGTTAACAATCATTTGGTGTTTAATGTGCATACAATATCGGCTGTTAAATCTCAGGGCTGGACTGGTTGAAACACTTATTTTTAAAAGTGAGGCCCAAGTTCGTAATAGCTGGATCATTAGTTGGGTCTGAAGCTCAAGTGCAGTCAGCCGAGGGGGTCTAAGAAGTCACTGCAGGGGAGACAGCAGAGCCCCAGGGAGAAGGCTCCTGCCTTCCCAGCTGACAGCTGGTGTGTGCTGGAGTTGGCCCACCTAGGGCCTGCATCCTGGTCCCACAGTCTGTGAGCTGTGCAACCTCAGGACCTTGTCTGAACTTCTTGGAGTGTCAGTATCCTCCTCTGTAAAAACACAGCAGTAAAAGTGTAGCCCCAGAGAAGTGCTGTAGGCATGAAGTGAGAGAGCAGGGTTGAGTTAAATGAACACTGAACTCAGGGGAGTTCAAATACTCATATATACGAGTTTGGGGATTAAATAGAAGAGGGAAGAGAGGATGAGAGAGAAATAAACCAAAACATTGGGTGATTCTCCCAATTCCTATGCTCAATATCCCTGCTGGAGAGTGAGGGGGAGAGGGTGACTGATAATATATTTATGCAAAGTCACACTGTTCTATTTTTACATAATACCACTATTCCGAAGCATACACACACCATGAAAGTTTTGGACAATTTCAAAGGACAATCGGGGGAATTTTGGCTACATACAAGTTTCTGCCTCTTACGTGCTGACTTCAGAACCTAACCCTAAGTAAGAAAAGACGGGACTTCTCTTCAATACTTAGCACAGGCCCTGGAGTATATACTGTGTTTAATAAATAATAAATGTTAGGGGCTCTTATGATTATTGTAATTATCATCATCATCCTCCTCCATGTATGTTTCCCCACACAGAAGCCCACTAGGGAAGTCCGACCTTTCCTCTAAGCTGGAGAAAGCAGAGCTCCCGAGCCAACCTTATCTGTGTAGTGCAGGCAAATGATGTTGATTTTCCACCTTGGAAAATGGCTATGAAGCAACTGCTCAGGGCACTTAATTTCCTCAAACAGCGCCATCAAAGCTGCACAGCCAGCCTCCCTGTGCCAAGCCACAAAGTGGATCAGTGCCTTGCACAGCACCCGCGCCGCCGCCAATAGACGCATTCAGTTGCTGATTTAGATAGAAATAAATGTTTATGAATGAATTATGGGTGTGAGTCGTCAGCTTGCGGATGAGGCGCAGCTGCAGCTGGGAAGTGGCTGAGGGACATGGCCACAAAACAATGTGGTAAAATGGCTTCTGGGTGCCCTGCCCCCAACTCTGCCAAGAGCCTGCTCAATCCGTCCTCCATGAAGCCTGCCCAGGCCTTCCAAGTCGGAATGACTTGCTCCTTCCTCGATCTCTTCTCAGCCTTCGTCTCCCACAGTCCTCAACATTCTCTACCTCATCCTATTTTCATTTACCTGAATCTGTTTTACCCAACAGTGAGAGGCAGCCAGGTGCAGGAGCAGCTATTCTCTGGGTATTATCTACATTCAGATCCAGCTTCTACTAATCCTAGCTATGTGCCCTTGGCAAGCTCTCTAACGCTGGGGGGCTACATGTGACTTGTTTTTTTTTTTTTTGTTTTTTTAAAAACAAAGGATAAAATCTATCTTGTAGGCAGGACAGCCATGTATGGCTGCCCAGGCTGTGCACTGCACAACTCCATCTGTGGAGATCACATTACCACAATGGGAAGATACAATGCAATGATCACTGTCCATGTAACTTCATGAGCTTTCAAACTGCCATCCCCAGTTACAGTTGGTATAGGTACAGTTCTTATACAGTGGCTGTCAATTTGCCAGAGCTATTGAGAGGGTCAAATGAAAGAATCATTAACAGG